AATCCCCAAGGCAGAACAAAAAAGATCATGTATCAAAACTATCATCAAAATAATTCTGACCCCAAGACCTCTGGCAAAAACCTCAAGATTAACCCTAAAGTTCACAGACAACATAGAGAATTGTTTCTGCGAGTAACAGCGGGGGCCCTCTGAGCCTTCTGACTCCATCCCTCCTTAATTTGATTTTGTCGTACTGCAACTCAAGCACAGGGCCCCGTGCTTGCTAGACAGATGCTCTGCCACTGAACCTTTAAAGAGCAGGGCCAGGCCCTGGAAGTCTCACCACTAATTGTCCGCACTAACAGCTCGTGATCCAGAACCCCCTTAACCCTATCACGGAGACAAGGGATCCAGTTCAGTCTGAGGTTTCGCTGCACCGCCCTCACACAGCCAAACGCCCGCTCATTGGCTTGAAGTCTCCATAGTCTTCCTTTTGATTTTCTACATGACTTCAAACAGAATGCCACATGCATAGTTTGGGTTGATTGCCCTAAACAAATCCCCTGAACCCCACACACCAAGTGTCCTCACCCACGTTTGAGGTTTTCATCTTAGAGTTTGGAGGAAAGGCAACTTGGATCTGGTCTTAATTTGAGAGGGCAACGCCATCCCTCAAGTTCACTTGCCATGTGTGAGAATGAAAGGCACAGCCCCGCCCCCTTACACTTATCCCATTTTCCACCCTTTTCCCAGACAAATCGCTAGTCTCTAAGCGCATGTCAACCACCACAAAGCATCCAACTCAAGCATGGCGCCTTTGTCTCTGCTGTCAAGTCTTGCATTTCTTTTTCCTACCGGGGTTCTTTCTTCCCTCTTCATTTTCTTCTGGAGCTGGAAGTCGGGGAGAGGATGACAGGTTCTCAAAGGTCACCCTTGAATAAAAAATGAATTATGTACAGTGTTGGCTTTGGTTGTTAAAAACAACATCATATTGGGAATGGAGCTAAGGTCTCATACACGCTAGGCAAGTACTCTACTACTGAGCCCTTGACCCTACAATAGTTTTTTTGAGATTTGTTTTTAAATTATGTCTATATTGGGAGGGGTACGCACGCATGTGTACAGAGTCCCACTGAGTCCAGAAGAGGTTGTTAGATCAGCTGGAGCTGGAATAATAGACAATTGGGAGCTGTCCCATGTAGACACTGGGATCTGAACTTGGGTTTTCTGGAACCCAGGCACTCCTAACCATTCAGCTGTCTTACCAGTTCCCCCAGGTTTCCTTTAATACCATGAAGTTTTGCTATCTCTTCGGCCCCCATCATGTTCTAGAGTCCTACAGTACGTGCTTTGGGAAAGTAATGGGGGTCCCAAGGAGAATTCCTTCTAAATAGATACGTTCCAGAGTTCAGTTTGTCTTTACTACTCTGTTTATATGCTTAGGAGTGACCAAACTCATAACCTCCTGGGGATGGGTCCCCCCAAAGAAAGTAAAGTTACCCAGAAAGAATGAGCCTTCTAGATGTACCACGCAGCAAACTGATCTCTGCTACTAACAACATGGTGAGCTGGGATACATATTTGTAATCCCAGCACTCAGAAGACTGAGACAAGAAATTAAAAGTTTAAGGCCAGAATGGGCTACACAGCTAGATCCTGTTTTAAAAAAGAAAGAAACATACAAATACTACAATGATTGTTGGGTGCAAAGGAAGTTCTGAGTGAGTGTATGCTGTTGTCATAGGCACAACCATGTCAAGAACCCCAAAGCCTTAGACCCTTGGGAGAATGGCAGAGACCCAAGGTGAATCTCTGAGAAATGTTCTGCTTTGCTCCGGAACTTCAGTGTGGGGGTGTTGATAGTATGTACAGAAAACATCCACCATAATGTTCTCTCTTCACCCCTGGATATTTATAGCCAGAAGACTGTTCCCCTTCTGTAACATGAAGGCCGGCTTGTTGGGGTATCTGTCCCACCCGGTACCCCACTGCAGTCAAGTCCCAAAGAAAATCACACAGAGATCTCCATATAAAACTGATTGGCCCATTAACTCAGGCTCCTTACTAGCTCTTATAACTTATGTTAGCCCATTATTTTTATCTATGTTAGCCACACAGCTCAGTACCTTTCTCAGTGGGGCAGCTTACATCTTGCCTCTTCGGTGGTCTGGGCAGAACTGCAGAGGGAGCTTCCTGCTTCCCAGAATATTCCTGTTCTCTTTGCTTCACATCTACTTCCTGTCTGGTTTCCCCGCCTATACTTCCTGCCTGACCAATCAGCATTTATTTAAAACATGATTGACAGAATACAGACAATTATCCCGCACCACCCTTCAGAGACTGCTCCAACTGAGGTTAGCTAAGCCTATCAACTCGATCCAGCCATATACTATCAACCCTGCCTCCTTGTTTGTCTGTATATAATAAACATACATAGTGAGCTCCCGGGATGCTGAAGTCTCCTTATTCAGGAGCCCAGCTCACTCAGCCCTACCTTCCTGTCCATGTATCTGCTTTCCTGTCTTTTCTTCCTCCTCCCACCACCCCAGTCAGGCTCACCACAGCAGTTGTAACAATCACCACTAATACATTTACTGTATATTTCAAAACTTGCTGAAGTCAAATGTTCTCACTATCAAAAATATATACCATATACCATGGATATATTAGCTAACTTCATATAATTGTCCCACAGTACACACATATGCCAAAACATCACATTATACGCCACACAGATATTCAATTAGTAGTCAACTAATACTTTTTTTTTCCGAACATTTATTTATTTGGGGTGGGGACTGTGCATGCGTCATAGTGAGAGTATGGGGGCGGGGCAACAGACAACTTGTTCAAGTCAGTTCCACCATGTGGGTTCCAGGGATCAAACTCAGGTCCTCAGACTTGGTAGCAAGCACCCTTCATGTAGGTTTCTTTTGCACCTTTAGCTCACGGAAGGTCATGCACTAGGCAGGAGCTACATTGCTTTGTTTCCATTGTTCTTTATTAGAACATGGTTTCGAATGCGGTTTGTGCGAGGTGCTAATTTTCTGCTTCCTAAAGGAAGAGGTAAAGGAAATAAGATAAAGAAAAGAATAACCAGCCGCGTTGTCTGGGTTCCAGAGAGGGTTATCAACATCTTAATTGTCAAGAGTCTTCCGTTCCCCATGTACTCAAAACTGTCACTGCCCTGAGCTATGGTTTCATGTGACCCCTGTTAGCAGAGGGTGGGTCACACTGCAGCCATGGAAAAAGAGCAGAATTCCAGCTCACTCTCTTTTCATACACCTTTGCAGCCTCTGGGAGGTGAGAAAAGCCATGCTACTTAGAGGACCAGCCCTGTAGGGAAGGTCTATATTAAACAGCTAAGCCTGACCTGTAGCTCATGGCAAAAAGCCACTCTTTGCTGTCTAGTTTCTTCTCCTTCCCCCTCTCTTTCGTGCCTGGATCAGGTTTCTAGTGATTTAAAACAAGTGCACAGAAACCAGGCAGTCAGTGCAAAATAATTGCAGGTTTGGGGTTGTTAGCATGCACTTCAATTGCTGCAACAGCCCTGAGAGAAGGGGGGAAAGCTAAGAATTTTTCTTATTGACTTCCCAGAGCACAGGATCAGTTGGAGTTGCCTTGCATGTGCCCTTCAGACAATTAGCTACCTAGGAGAGACTCAGTGCAGGCATTAAGTCTCTATTCAAAAATCTATTGCTTGTTGAGTGTTGAGCTCTCCCTTCCCCCCACCCCAACACACGCAAACACATGAACACACAGGGTAATTATAGGCTGCAGAGGGAGAGACATTGGAACTGTGTACAAAACAGTTTATAAAGTTTTAAAATAACAGGGACACGAATATGCGCGTGTTTGCACAAAGCAAGCAATGTGGATGATGGGATGAACGCGTTCCTTCTTCTTTTGCTGCCTCGTGTCCATCTCCAGAATACAGAGGATGGGCATGCGGGAGGAGCCCCTCCCCTGCTCTGGGATGCCTGCGTCTAAGCGGTCCTGCTCATTCATCCTATGCCAGTTTATTGTTGCACATCAAAATACAGACCCTCAGGTGTGGGGAATGGAGTGGCTGACGGAGTGGGCTGCTATCTAATTAGTTTCATGAAAAGCTTCTTTTGTGGCATAACAGAAGTGAGGGAAATAAAAGAGCCCCTCGCTGTCTCTCATAAGTCTGAGATGAGCTTTCTGCAGATTAGTGTTCCAAAGTGGAGGGACATTTTTTTCCCAACCCTTTCAGAAGTCTCCTCCCGCGCAGCCTTGCAAAGATTTCTGCTCCGCTCCCCTCCGGATTTCATTTATTTATTTTCTAATGCGGGGAGGGCGGCCACTCACCTCCAGCCTCTGAGCCAATCAGGCAGCTCCTTCCGCCGGCTTAGATCCATAGCAGCAAAGGCAATGCCTGTGCTAGCCACTCTGAACTCTGTCCTGACAACAGTCAGATTGGCGACTGACTGACTGCTGGAGGGGACTCTGTCATCTAAGGCGCCACTGTGGGAACCAAGGACTGAACAGAGGGACCAGCCTCGCTGTCAAGAAGTGCTTTGCCTCGGGTGATTGATGGGGACAGTTAGGAGCTTCTCAGTGGCTGGAAAAGGTGGTTCTGCCACTTACTTGCTAAGAAGTCTTTGTCCACAGATGACTCTCATGGGTAGTGAGTGACATAGTGCAGATGACTGACAGCTTCGCATTTTCTTCTGCTTGGTAGATAGTAAGGGCTGCAGGTGATTAAGGCTCCTCTAGCCCGCCCTGCACCAACCACTCTGCACACGCAGCTGCACTTTCCCCGGGGCTGGCTCCTCTCATCCTTTTTTAGTCTAGTTGGGGGTTTTTTAATAGCAGAGATGAGGCGCTGGCCACTGTTTATGCAGCCACTTAAGAAACGGAGATGCTCTCCGAGCCATTGATCAGCAGTTGCATGTGTTGCCCTCTTTGCCTTCTGCAGGAGATGAAGGAAATATCGGCGTGTCACGTGCTGCTTGAAAACATTAGTTCAGATCAAAAGTCTGTTTTGAAACCCTTGACTGACGCTGCCTCTGTATTTTTCCCTCTCTCCTCTCTAGGACCCCGTCTGCAGATGTTCTGAAAACCTCTGAGTCTAGAAATTGATTATTCAACCAGGATACCTAATTCAAGGTATTAGCTCTTGTCAGAAAGCTTTTTACGTTTGCGCTCGGTGCTGCAAATTATACTTTGGCAATGAATGGAAACAGGGAAAGTTGGCCAGAGAATAAAGGACAAAAGCGATTTTGCAAAATAATCAAGTACTTAAAAACCTCCCCTGTGCGAGTGAGGGTTGCTCCTTCTGACTCCTGAGCAGCCCTGTGCCGCCAGCCCAAGTGTCAGCTCTGGTTGCTTTGTAGCCTTTTCGCTACAACTGCGTTTGGGGTTTGGATTTCATTTTCATTCCCCCCCCCTTTCTCTTTTTGTCTTGACACCTCCCCCATTCCCGACACCCCAACTACCAGAACTCGAAGACAGACATTTTGTCAGCTTCGCAACATTGGACCAAGTACGATGAAGAGTGCCTGCTGGGCTCTGCTGCTGGCTGTTCTGGGCGCTGAACTGCTGGGGAGCTTGTGCTCCACTGCACGGTCCCAGAGGTTCAGAGGAAGGATACAGCAAGAACGCAAGAACATCCGGCCCAACATTATTCTCGTGCTCACCGATGACCAGGACGTGGAGCTGGGTGAGACCTTAGATTTTTCACTTGTCAGTCTTTCCTGATTCAAACGGTTTCCAGAGCCTGTTGTATCAGAGGTGATCAGCCAGCCTTTGGGGGACTGGTGCTTGGCTGGCTGGGTCTGACAGTCATCTGGCTTACACAGTGAACTCGTACTGGTCATAAACTATTAGAATTGTCTCAACATTCCTTTTCTGGTCTTATGATTTTAAAATGGATTTTTTAAAAAGTGTGCAAGGATAAGAAGATGGGGGATGGGTGAGCCTGGGAAGCCGCAGAGGTCAAGGGCTTGGCCAAGAGCATGGTAGCTCACTCCTGTAATCTCAGGGCTTGAAAAGTAGAGAGGGGAGAACCAGGAGTTCAAGGTCGCTCTTATTAACTACAGAGTAACTTGGAACCAGCCCGGGAAATTTAAGACCCTGTATGGAAAAGAAAAGAGGGTGAAAAGAAAGAAGTTAATTTATCAAAGTGTGTCAGAGCACATGAGTGTGACTTTCTCTGAATGTATAGAAAAGATAGATAAAAGGAATTTTTCTTTTCTTTCTTCTTTCTTTCTTTCTTTCTTTTTTTTTTTTTTGAGACAGTCTCAAGGTGTTGCCTTGGCTAGCCTGGGACTCCTTATGTTGACCAGGCTGTCCTCAAACTCACAGAGATCTGCCAGCCCCTGACTTCTGAGTGCTGCAACTGAGAACATATACCACCATGCCCAGACCAAAGAGATGTAGTTGAAACTGAACAGTGTTCTATGTACCCTTGTGGTGACTCACCATGCCTGGGTTTGTGCCTTTGGACATGTCTCCTGAGCTCATTCAAGAGCACTCAAATGAAGTGGGCCAGGATTTAGTGGCTTTGGCTCACCTCTGACCTCTTGCTGTCTGTAAGAACCTAGCCCTAGCGTCTTATCTGGAAGCTCATAGGCAGGATATTCCTGAATACCCTAAGACAGCTGCACTTTTTTCCCCCGCAGGCTGTCATCTGCATCCCCATTTCCATTCTTGTAGCCCCCTTTCTTTGCTGCAGGGCTTTGACCAAAGGTATCTATCTATGCAGTTCAATTTGACTATGGGGAGGATAAGAGAGGGAACTTCCAAGGTTTGGTCTTGAGGATCAGACCATGGAATCAGAACAAAGTTAATTGCCAGGCTTCAGCTGGGAGCTGGTATACGAAAGGCCAGTAGGAGGAACCATGACTGAGTCTATGTTCTCATTTCCCATTTAACAAAAAAGAAAAAGTGTATTGATTTTCAGGTATTTTTTCCCTAATGAAAGGTCATGCACACATGGCTTTAGGAGGAATGCTTCTGGATATTTAAATGTCTTCATTTACTTACAGGCCAAGGAAAGGTGGGGCTCATGCCTGACTCCCTATGCAACTGAGATCTCTAGACCCTCCTTATTTCTCCAGTTTCTCCATCCCTTCTTGCTCATCCTACATCCCGTGGCTAGAGTTACCTTTGAACTATCATATGTGGTCCTGTCTCTGTAGGCAAGTTAACTGAGGCCCCCAGCCCCAGTGACTCTCAAGAAATTCCTCCACTCCCCTACCATCTCCCTCAGTGCATCAAGAAGCAACTTTTGCCTACTGAATCATGTTTTGGTTCGCGTGCTCCCTTCTCCCATCCCATGTCTCTACCTCTCCCCTGTATCTACCTGGTGAAGCACTACCTGTTCCTAAGCAGCTCAGGTGCCCCACCCTTGAGTTTGGGGTTCTACCCAAAACCACCACCACCCCACCCATCAGAGGGTGTTTTTCTTTGCACTCCACCCCCATGTCTCCAGGATGACTCGGTCCACCATACGTTCCTAAGCCTGTCCCTTCCACACACCCCACTCTACATGCTAGACTGTAGCAGATGTTTCATAAACTTTGGATAGGTGCACATTGGTTCTGAAATAGATAACCCATCTCCCAGAAAGGAATGTAGGCGTCCAACATGCCCTTTCTCTTCTACACTACAGTACTGACTTTAAAAGAAATTAAGGAAGAATTATCTGCTACACTTATTTTAAAATCAGATTCAAGTTTTCTGCCTTGTCCTACAATATATTCATCTAGCAAATGTTTACAATGTAATTACTAAGTACTGGAGTCTCCTGGTTTGTTAGGGAAAAAAAAGATATAGTGGTGGGGTTGAAGAGATGGCTCAGAGGTTAAGAGCACTGGCTGCTCTTCCAGAGGCCCTGAGTTCAATTCTCAGCAACCACATGGTGGATCACAACCATCCATAATGAGATGTGGTGCCCACTTCTGGTGTGCAGGCATCCATGCAGCCAGAACACTATATACATAATAAATAAATAAAAATCTTTTAAAAGCTAGAGTGATAGACCCAACTCAGTCAAGATGCAAGCGTTAAGTGTGCCTTCGGACCTGTCCTCTTTCTCTTTCCTCATTTCCTAGCCTGGTGATGCGCCAAGCATTAGCCCATTTCATTCTCCCAGCAATCATCACTACCCTTGGCTTCTGTGCAGCAGAAGAGAGGTTTAGAGACGTCGTAGCTAGTAGATGACAAATCCGGGACCTGTCTTAGTTCATCATACCTGCAGACTGAGCCACTGTCTCGGGACCTGTCTTAGGTCATCAGCTGCAGACTGAGCCTCTGTCTCGGGACCTGTCTTAGGTCCTCATAGCTGCAGACTGAGCCACTGTCTTGGGACCTGTCTTAGGTCATCACAGCTGCAGACTGAGCCACTGTCTTGGGACCTGTCTTAGGTCATCAGCTGCAGACTGAGCCGCTGTATCTTCCATCTGTTGATCCATAAATGAATGCTCACTATGATCTTCAAAAATTCAGCCTGTCAATTCCCAGTAGCGCTCTGAAAGAGAGCCACATTGAGGCAAAAGATGGGCCCTGCTTCCCGACTTGTGAACCTGGTGATTAGGGAGCACAGACAAGCAGGGCTCAGATGTTCCCTTCTCAGTAGGGCAACTGTGTCTTTGGTGGTGGTTACTGCTTGATCCTAGTGACACACACAGTTCTTCCCGAACCTCACTGTTGTAGCATTGGCTGTCCTTGGTGTTTACTACTGTCATCATTTCTAATCAGTTCAGGCCGTTAAGTACACTCGTGTTGTTGTGGAAGCAATCTTCAGAACACTTTTCACAACCCAAGCTGAAGCTTTCCACCCCTAAACAGCTCCCTGTTTGAACCATCTCTCAGCCCCGCCAGTCACCATTATACTTTGTGTCTCAAAATTTTACTTCAGCAGATACCTTGTGAGTAAATCATATATCTGAAACTCTGCAACTGCCTGAAATTCACATAGCATAGCATCCTCATGTCCATCCTTGCTCTAACATGTGTGAGAAACTCCTTTCTAGGGCTGTACAATATTCCATCCATGCATACTACATGAACCACACTTGTTTTTCTTGTATGCTTACTGTTGGGAATTTGAGTTGTTTCTTTCTTTTAGTGCAAGTGAAAAATACTTCTATCAATATGCATGTATACTGCTATGTACATGCCTGTATGCTGTCATTAGCATGCATGCATCCTGCTATGAACATGAATGTATAATGCCATGAACATGCCTGCATGCAGTCATTAACGTGCACGTAAACTATCATAAATATGCATGTATACTGCTATGAACACGCATGTATACTGCCATGAACATGCATGAAGGCTTTGCTTTCAATTTTTTGCAAAAAAAAAAAGGTTTTACCAGGGAATGGGATCCGTTGCTGGATCATATTATAATTTCATTTTTAATATTATGGGAAATAACAGTGTTCTCCATAGCAACTATACCATTTTAAATTCTTTCTAATTAAGCACAAGAGCAAAAATTCCTCCAGATCTTTATCGACATTTTATCATTTTTTTTGTTTGTCTGTTCTTGTGTTTGTTTGTCCAGTGTGCAGGCTGTATCTTGTTGTGATTTGAATGAGTTGCAGTGAATGTTGATTTTCACTTTTCCATGTGAGTTTGTTTATCAAGGACTCTAAAAGACCATTGCTTTGGTAAACTTTTTTCTCCTGAAGATCCAGTCTCTTGACTGCTGCATCTCCAGAGAGCTGCAGCACACTCAGAAAATACTTGTAAAAAAAATATATAAAATTTTTAGTATAACATTTTTCTAATTTGGAAAGAATGAAACCATCCAGAGCCTGTCTGGAAAGACAAAGACTGTAATCAAAGGGCTCTGATTACAGTTTAAGAACGAAGCAGTGAAGGAAAGGCATGCATTCGGTTTGTCCTCAGCTAAAAGGGCAAATAAATAAACTAGTACTTTGTAAAGTGAAGAAGACACACGAGGAACTCATTAACGGAAGTGCGAGAACCTTCCATGTGGTCCAGAGGACACCCATCTACACTGCTGTGAGTGAATCGTGGCATCTCACTGAAGTGAGCAGGAGAGACAGCAGTCAGCATCCCAGGAGGAAAGGACCCTGGGGAGAGGTCGTGGCTTAACTGAGCATCCTCTGGCTTGGCATTTGCTTCTTCCAGAATTTAAGAAGCCCCCGATTTTGTTTTTACTTCTAACGATGCAAGTGTTTAGGAGGAGGAAGACTTTTTATAAAAGCAATCTTTTACTGACAAATTGTCTGTTATCTGACAGCTTCATACAATGCATTCTGATTATTCTGTCCCCACTCTCCCTTCTCTTCCTGCTGTCACTGCCAACACACCCCTTCCGTACCCTTCTGAGAGCGTGGAAACGATCAATGTCAAGTTCAGGATAATGGCTACTTCTGGGGAGAGAGGTCTCCAAGAGCATTCACAATGTACATGTTTTCTTTTGACTCAAGTGCAGTAGTGTGTGTGTCTGTGTCTATCTGTCTGTTTCTGTGTGTGTCTGTGCGTGTCTGTGTGTCTGTCTTTCTGCTTGTCTGTTTGTGTGTGTTTGTGTGTGTGAGTCTGTGTGTGTATCTGTGTATCTGTCTGCCTGTGTCTCTGTGTCTGTCTGCCTGCTTGTCTCTGTGTGTGTGTGTGTGTGTGTTTGTGTGTGTGTCTGGGTGTGTCTTTGGGGGTGGGCTGTAGCTTTGTTAGATTTAATAAAACTAGATGTGTGATTCATTCTGCTCTTGCCTGTACTTTTCAAATATTTTACACATCAAAAGAAAGAAATTTTGAAATACTTGAGAAACTTTTCACTTTCTTCAGCTAGAATGAAAAAGCTGGAGAATAGATGCTCATTCTCTTCCAGATGGTTCCTTGGTTCCATTTTGAGAAAGAAAACACTGTGGACTGAGTCACGCGTCTAACTCAGCATGGCATTGCTCACCTTCTTAGGTCTCTGCCCTGCTGGTTCTCTGTCCCTCCAACCACAAGTGGAATTAAGCTGTAAGCATGTGGAAACGGTTTGCTATTTAAAGAAGAGCTTTGGAGTTAGCCTATAGATATGTGTCATTTGCTCTTTGCTTTAAAAAAAATTAAAAAGCCAGGCATAGTGTCACATGAATTTAATCCCAGCATTCAAGAGGCAGACGCAAGGTGGATCTCTGTGAACTCGAGGCCAGGCTAGACTACATAAGTCCCAGGCTAGCCAGGGCTACATAGGTGTTGTCTTGATAACAACAAAAGACCAAGACTTTAAAATATTCGTTGTCTTTCCTCCTCCTCCTTCTTCTGGACTTTTAAAAAAGTTCTGATGAGCGAGAATTACACTTGTCAGAGTCAGCCATGGCTAGCCCCCTCATTCCAGCCACCCCCTTAAGTGGGGTATGACTCCCCAGGACAATCAGCCCCCTTTTGCCAGCCATAGGCTAGCCCCCCTCATTCCAGCCACCCCCTTAAGTGGGGTATGACTCCCCAGGA